CCGTCGGGTCTGGACTTGGTGGACCGTCCGTTCTGGACTTCCGGTCCATCCGTTCCAGACCCTTCTGTCTCGGTTTTTTGTCGTTTTCCCTCGTGCATTTGTCCTTCCCTGCGTGTGTGACCCTGTAGGCTCATTCGACATAGCAGTATAACCTGAAATCCCTATTTCGGGTATACAAGTCATAGGCGGTCTCTAGCAAGACACTATGACTACCTATCTCGAATAGAGTTTGTTCGTGATCTTACGACTGCCAGTGATGATTCCGGTTGATGATCCTTTTGTATCGTGATATCATATGTCGAACATAAGGCATGGACCAGCCACCTTATCTGATTCGACTGCTTTCTCGTTAACTGAGTTTTGACTGTCTGAAATAGACGACGTTCGTCTATAGTGCGGCCACACATTTCTACAGTCTCGCTCACACGAGGGGCCCCGCGATATCTCTCTCTTTTACGAGAGGTACAAATCCCGTCTTGACTATCTACAATCCAGTACATGATTCGTTTCGTACCTGATACACGCCTTTATAATCCTCCTTTTACGCAGGACGTTTGACGTAATCAAAGCACGCAACTCCTCATGTTGGATTCCGTAGATATCTCAGGTCTTAGGATCCAATCATGGAACCGTCATATGAGATTCAAGTCATGACGCTAGTCCATGTGACAATCTCATGCGGGTCATTCCAGTATTCCGTTCTCCAACGAATACCTATGATCGTGATCGTATCCAATACCTATGATCATCTATGTGATCATCAATCACACATCATACTAGTCTTATTATGTCGTTATTCCCATAACGACACAAGACTAGGGAGTTTAGTATCATTCCTAATGATACATAGATTTCATAACAGATCTAGCATGCAAGAACATGTAATGAATAAAATACTTTCATAAAACTATAGAAAGTATCAATACATCGAATGTATCGGAACAAAGCTCATAATCAGTACATCATAGAGCACTAAACCAACATCTAGGACGTCTGAGAGTTCTATCTAGGGTTTGTGGCGGCTCTACCACTTAATTAGAATTGCCCAAAACCCTAAAACGCGAGAAACTGATAACTGTTACGTAAGTCGGACCGTCCGTTCCATACCTGGAACGGACGTTCTGACTTTCTACATAGAACGGACGGTCCGTATTTCAACGTAGAACGGACGGTCTGAGTGCCTGGATCGTCCGGTCTACACCTGGACTGGACGGTCTGGCCCTTTGCGGAACGGTTGGTCCGTTCCTCAGCAGAACGAACGGACCATCATGGCTGGACCGTCCGTTCCAGGCCTAGAACGGACGGTCTGGCCTTCTGGAACCCTTCCAGCTTGTTCCGTGGTTCCTTTCTCGCGTCGCTCTCTTCACGTGTGATCTATCCCTAATGGTGTGTGACCCTGTAGGCCCATTCGAAGTGGCAGTGGCTTCGGAAACCCTTTTCCCGAACCACAAGTCATGGTTAGCCTCTAGCAAGACGCCATGACCACCCACCTAGAATAGAGTTAGAGGTGATCTAACAAAGCCAGCAATAGTTCGAGTTCTGATCCTTTGTCTCACGATGTCGTATGTTGAACAAGGGCATGGTATGAGCCACCCTTCAAGTTCAACCGCTTACTCGTCTAGGCAAACTGACTGATAAAATAGATGTACATTCATCTATAGGGTGGCCACGCATTTTCACAGTCCGATTTCCACGAGGGACCCAGCGACATCTCTCCTGCGTAGGAGGTGACAAGTCCCGTATTGCATGTCTACTATCTGCATATGATTCGTGAACGTATCTGAGCAACGCCGTTATGATCATCCGGTTAAAGACGACGTTTGACGCAGTCAAGACACGTCACTTCTCATATCAGATACTCTAGACATCTCAGGTCTGAGGATCCAAGAACGAACCGCTGTATGAGATTCAAGTCATGACTCATGTCCATGTGACAATCTCATGCGGGTCATCCAGTAACTCGTTCCAAACAAGAACCCACGATTGTGATTTGCATCCAATGCATATGATCATAATCATCTATCATTGTGGGAACAATAATGAATTAAACATTGTTCCCACAATGATAACTGACCAGGGAATTTAGAATCATCTGCAATGATTCAAGGATATTTACCGTAATTGAATTAAGACTAGCATGAGGTGTGATCGATGCATTGGATGCATTTCACAATCATGGGTACTCGTTGTAAACGAGTGACTGGTTGACCCGCATGAGATTGTCACATGGACAGAGTCATGACTTGAATCTCATACAGCAGTTCGTTCTCGAATCCTCAGACCTGAGATGTCTAGAGTATCTGATATGAGGAGTGGCGTATCTTGACTGCGTCAAACGTCGTCTTTAACCGGATGATTATAACGGCGTTGATCAGATACGTTCACGAATCATATGGAGATAATAGACATGCAATACGGGATTTGTCACCTCCTTAACAGGAGAGATATCGCTGGGCCCTCTCGTCGAAATCGGACTATGAAAATGCGTGGTCACGCTATAGATGAAGTTGCATCTGTTCTATTAGTCGATTTGCCAAGACGAGAAAGCTGTTGAACTTGAAGGGTGGCTCACACCATGCCCTTGTTCAACATATGATATCGTGAGACAAAGGATCAGAACTCGAGCTGTTATTGGCTTGGTTAGATCACCTCTAACTCAATTCAACGTGGGTGGTCATGGCGTCTTGCTAGAGACTAACCATGACTTGTAGATCGGGAATGGTTTTCGAGGCTGCTGCCACTTCGAATGGGCCTACAGGGTCACACACCATTAGGGATGGACTTACATGTGAAGTATCGGAAAGGGACACTTGGATTTGGTCGAACAAACGGTTTTCGGATCAAATCAGAGTATCGGGACGGTTTCAGCCTTTTGACTCGGACCGAGTCAGTTCCATGCGAGTCGAAACCCAGAAAGTGTTTTGGGCTTGACTGATGTTTTGACTCGGACAGAGTCAAGTTTTGACTCGGACCGAGTCAACACTTGGTGATGGGCTTGGGCTGATTCGTTCTGACTCGACCGAGTCAGAGTTCTGACTCGGACCGAGTCAATACTCGGAAAAAGTCACTTTCCAAAAGGGATTAGGGTTCCTATCTTATAAGAAGGGTATTGGACGCCGTCCTAAAAAAAAAGACAGACGAAAAGAACCCTAAAACAGAGCAAAAACTCAGAAGAAATCGTTTCTTTCATAGTTCTAGCTCCCGGGATTAGATCCCACTTCAAATACTTCACAGATCCTAGCAGATCGGTTCCAAAAGCGTTTGGAATCCTTTCCGTCGGTGTGGATACGTGTAGAGGGACTGTAACTTCAGTCCTAGATGATTAAACAGACCCCGGATCGACTCCTGCTTCCGTTTCTTCAGGAAAGAGGTAAGTATTCAATTCCCACGATGATATACATGATTATACGGGGTTTTATGGATGAGTTTGGTTGCGTGTGACGTTTGACTAGGTTTAGATTTTCCTTCCGCTGCATGAAACCAAGTAACCAAACCCTAGAACGATGAGATCACATGCTAGGAACCCGTAGCGAAACCCAACACTATCTATTGAGTTATTTCCAGATTATAATCTCATATAGCTATACGAATTAAAACATTAAGTTCATTCAATCAAATGGCCAACAAGATCAAAAGCATAAATCTCAACTCAATAAACCGAATAGAATAAATAAATCCACAGAGTCTGGAATTAAAAACAACAGATCTCTACATAGCAAATCTCTAACCCGCAGCAAGGGGACTACTCGCTACACATCGAGACGACAGAGTTCATATAAATATAAAAAAACATTGTAAAATAGAATAAGGAAGAAACTCTTAGTCGATTTCTCGGCTTCGTGATCTCCGTCTTCTACTCCAATCTCTTGCATCCTTATAATCTCCCTTTTTTCTCTGCTCTTGGGTGACTCTTCTGCTTAAAATTCAGAATGCCCCTTGACCTAGCATGTGTGTCTCCTTTTCTCCTTTCTCCCTTGGCCGAAATCGGAATGTTTCCAAAATCTGACTGACGAAACGATCGTTTCAAGTCTCTGAGCTATTTTTTTATTTTTCCGACTTAAAACGATCATTTTGAAACTCCCGAACCGATCGTTTTGTATCTCTGAGTAATTCGGATTTTTGGCATGTGAAACGATCGTTTCGGCTCGGGTGAAACGATCGTTTTGACTCTATGATCTCCTATTCTTCGGATTTTGCTTCCTTCTTCGGGTTTTGCGTGTTTTTGTCGCTTCCAGGATGTAGTATCTGCAAAGATTAATAACCAAACAAACCCGAAGCTAAACACGCACTTAAACGTCCCAAATGTCATAAAGTCGAGTAAATATATCGGATGAATCCTATGAAAATCGATGATATATTGCGTGTTATCAGCCCCAAGTGAAACACTAAAGACAGAGAAAACTTGCCACCGCAGTCAATAAAACTTCACCATTTAATTCTCTTCGACCCTCCAACTGCCTCTCATCCACACCCATTATACATATACACGTATATAATCGGCTTCTTACAGGTTGCAACACATTTCACACGACAAAAACAAAAGCCCCATTATTCACATCAATCCCACAAACCTAATCTCTCTCTCTCTCAAATGGAGCGAAGCCCATTGACAGGTGTCAAGCTCTCGTCGGTCGTGCCTGCTACAGTGACAGGCAACAACAAGACACGCGAACTCACGTCCATGGACTTAGCCGTCAAGCTCCACTACGTGAGATCCGTGTACTTCTTCAAGCCCTCTCCGTCCGTACGGAGCATCACCATCGATAACTTCAAGGGACCCTTCTTCCGACTGCTCCAGATCTCCGACCCGTCCGTGTCAGGTCGGATCCGGAGGTCCGAATCGGACAACCCCACTTCGCGTCCATTCGTACGGTGCAACGACAGTGGCGTACGGATCGTGGAAGCCACTGTCGAGGGCTTCACGGTGGAGGAGTGGCTCTCTGCTGGTGACAGAACGATTGATTATGAGTACCTTGTTTATGATCAAGTCCTTGGCCCCGATCTTGACTTCTCTCCTCTCGTCGTTTTCCAGGTATCTTGTATTTATATATATCTTATTTCTGTATATATATAGCTATGTAAAGGTATATGTATATATTCACATATATTTTTCTTTTCCAATAGTTCAATTAGCTCTGAAAGAAATAAATTCTCGTTAAAAATACAACTAGGAATTCAAGTGATAACTGCTTGATTTTATATACTAGCTCTTGGTTAACTAATATATATATATGATAGTATTAGATATTAGAAGTTGACAATTCAGTATTTTACCTTCTGCAGATTTGTGGCGATTAACTGTGACTGAAAATCAACTATACCCACATACACAAATACATATGATATATATATGAATTGATTGTGTGTATGCGTGTGTACTGATATATATAAATAAATGAAATTTTAATTTTATATAAAAATACACAATCGTTGCATAAACTACAGAAATTTATATAAAAATATACAAACTTTGAAATTTTTTCCTGTAAACCCACACAAAAACACAAACGGTACTAATATTTGTGAGTTTATGTATAAAATTTCAAAATTTATACATTTTTATACAAAATTAAAAATTTATCAAATTTTTAAAATTCATTATTTTCCACATTCCTTTCTGAATAGTAAGCATTGAATTTGGACATTATGGAACCAAGCCATATTTTGATTATACATATATTCCGAGGAATTAGTTTATTGAGTTTAAAGGTTTTTTTCCCCCTCAATTCACGCAGAGTTCAATTTTTAAAGTTTATGTTTGAATCTACTCGTGTAAATATATTCATATAAAGACCTTATCCGTTAATTACCGAATCCAAAATCTCTGTCGTTGCGATGAACGCTCAACTAGCAATATTGGAGTTCGGTGGCTAAATTATATTTGTAAAATAGAAATAAAATGTTATGAAAAGGGATATGATAGCGATTGAATAATGATGGCACTAAACCCTAATAAATATAATGGTGGCACCAACTTCTACGTGCCATTTTGGACCACCTCACAACATTTATGGATCAGCCGGTGGGTAAACGAACCGACAAGTACAGATTCTCCTTCCGCCTTTGTTCTACACCCACCCACCCATTGCACGTTATCCATACAAATACTATGTGACATACATGTGTATATATCATATAGTTTGTCATTAAAGTGCTCTAGATTTTTGGCTCAAAACAAGAATGATTTTCATCATTGTGTCAGCTTTGTTATCAAAACTTGTTAGAATAAGTAAATACCTAAATAAAAAGAAGTAAAATAAAGTATATTAATTGATAAAAACTTATTCTTTTATCCATTATTATATGCTTTTTTTTTCTTTGTTGCAAAAACCAGATGACAAGGTTCAAATGTGGTGGAATTTCGATTGGATTGGATTGGGCTCATGTTTTGGGGGATGCATTTTCAGCTTCTGCCTTCATGAACGCGTTGAGCCTAGTACTGGCCGGTCAAGAGATACCTAAACCTTTATACCCGGAGAAAATCGGGCATAAATACCCGGTTCATGAGAAAGCATTCTCCATCAAAAAGATTGAACCGGTTGGTAATCATTGGTTGCATACCAATGCGTGCAAGATGGGGATACAAACGTTTTGCCTTGGCTCCAAGCAAATACAAAATTTGATGGCTAGGTATCCGGCACTAGGCAAAACATTATCTGTCGTCGAGATTCTTTACGCCGTGGTATGGAGATCGATGCTGAATGTTCATAAAGGATCAAATCCGAAGATTATTTCCATATGTGAGGGCAGAAGAACCGAGACATGTTCTAACAATGGCATGGTAATAAGCACTGTAGATATCGGTGGATTGCCCAAGGAGGGAGACAGCTCGGTGCTCGAACTAGCGACATTAATCGCAGAGAAAAAGATTGTGGAGAACGGTGCAATCGAAAGTATGATCGATAGAGATGGAGGGGTTTCGGATTATATCTTATACGGCGCTAAGTTAACGTTTGTCAATCTAGGTGAAGCCGATGTTTACAGATTTGAACTGGATGGAGAAAAACCCGAGTATGTGAATTATATGATTCACAGTGTAGGGGATGAAGGAGTTGTCATGGTTTTGCAGGGGAATCAAGACAAGGGGAAACTTGCAAAGGTGGTAATCATGGTCATACCTGAAGAACAACTAGCAAAACTCGAGGGTGAGCTAAAAAAATATTGGGATGTGATATGAATTTCTTTTTTCATATATATATATATATCGTGTATTTGCCCAATGTAATAAAATACAATGCGGAAAGAAAATTGTGGCTATATGTAATGAGATGATATATTGTTGTTGGTTGTAATTGTTTGACGTGCAATTCGACAAATAAATGGCATTATTTGCTACAATCTTTTTTTTTTGACAAATATTTTTTGCTACAATCTTGTTTTATTTAAATCTTTCGTTTACGTTATATCGTCTTTCTAAGAACACTATATAAGATATTTTTTTGGTAAATATATTTTGAAGAATTTTAAAAGTATTAGTTTAATTTTATTTAAGAAGCAGATAAAAATACTATTAATTTTATTAATTTGATCTAAATTAGTTTGAAAAAAATAAATTAATATTAGTGATATTGAGACACGTGATCTCATTATGCTGATATAACCCAAAGATGTTTTGATTATAGATGTCAATTTGGGTTGAATTAGATGCGTTATCCCAACACAATCCAATTATTTTTGTATTTTTTTTTTTGATAAAAGTTGAATGTATATTAATAAAAATAGTTCAAACATAGTTCGTGTACATAACCGGATAGGACCGAATACCCTACAAAATGAATACCCATGTGTCTCTAACTAGACACCATATCAGTCAATAAAAAACAACATGTGGAGCAGCTATCGGGGATAGAGAGTAAGATAGTACCAATTGGATTACTCTTTTGGATTAAAAATGTTTTATGGGTTAAATGGATTATAACCAATTAACCCATGGTACTACAAATCATTTGCAATATCATGGTCGAATTTAGAAAATAGTGAAACCAAGAATCAAATCTAAATCTAGGAAAAACAAATATGATGATATGTGATAGTGACTAGCCTAATTAAGACAAATTAAAATAAACTGTGTGGACTCAAGACTGCAATAATATGTAGGAACTACTTCTAAGCATATAAATCCAATGAATATCTAACTCGATTAGGGGAACTCAAACTCTTATATAGAAATTGATTCTCTCAATGTCTAACCTCATTATCCAAAGAATTAGCGTACTGACCTAGCTATATAGACTAATCAATGAATGCATTATTGAAAACTTATCAGGATCCCAAACCACTAGCCTATCTCTCAACAGTTTTAACATGTTCATTCAATGGATTCTATGTTAGAAAAGTGTGGGTCTGGATACAGAGAAAAAGAACAACAAAACAATGAAATCAAAATAAAAAACGAAAGAATCCGGATATGATCCTCTAGGCGTGATTTCACTTTCCTAAAACGTTATTCCCTCCCCACCGAGCAAAGGAGAATCCCGAGAATACGTTTAGAGATACAAAGAAGATCAGCAACGATTGATTCGCTCGTCAAAAGTTGCCCGAAACAGGAAAACCCGCGAATGAGAATGACCAAGAAAAGTTGGAGAAGAGTTTCCGGATATGATCCTCTAGGCGTGATTTCACTTTCCTAAAACGTTATTCCCTCCCCACCGAGCGAAGGAGAATCCCGAGAATAAGTTTAGAGATACAAAGAAGATCAACAACGATTGATTCACTCGTCAAAAGTTGTCCGAAACAGAAAAACCCGCGAATGAGAATGAACAAGAAAAGTTGGAGAAGAGTTTGCAAAATTCTTCACCAAAATGGCTCCCAGATCTCTCAAAAATCAATTAGATTTCGTCTCTTATGTGTTCAGACGTCTAGGAATGTTTTTAGCACTCCAAAAGTCAAAAGGTGCAAAGACATCGGAAGTTTTTTCCGAACGGTCACGATTTTTCGTTCATTTTGAACAGCTCAGAAAAATCAGGCGGGTCGCTCATTTTTCCGAGCGGTCGCTCATTTTCTCCAGTTTTGTTTATCAGAGAAAATGAACTACCCGCTCATTTTCCCGAGCGATCGCTCATTTTTCCGAGCGGTCGCTCATTTTCCCCAATTTTGTTCATCAGAGAAAATGAGCTACCCGCTCATTTTTCCGAGCGGTCGCTCATTTTTCCCAGTTTTGTTCATCAGAGAAAATGAGTTACCTGCTCATTTTTCCGAGCGGTCGCTCATTTTTTTCCAATTTTCTTCATCAGGAAAAACGAGCTACCTACAATATCTTCCGACTAATCCTTAACACTTAACCAATTCACGACACATCTTTTACAAGCATTTTACTCCACCGCCATATTTGTAATACACGTGAAACATGAATCCTTTGAGAGATTTTAAAGTCCACCAATCTACTCTAAAATCACTAACAATCCTCCACCATTTTAGAGTAGATTGTCTATGGAAACCATACGACAATCCGTCATCCTCACAACTTTGTGCATAAATGAAAGTATCTTTCGATTGAACTTCCACTTAGTGTAACGTACAACAATAAACTCGAATTACATAGGTGTCGAAACGATTGAACCTAGTAATCCTAATTAAGCTACCGAGTACAAAACACACACAAAGTCGATACAAGTTTTTCTGCAATCCTTCGCACTATAATGGCCATGTATCCATATCCACTCACAAGCACATGAATGTTGAGCCATCAACATCTTGAAGCGGCCTCACTTCATGCTTGTATAGGTGAATCCTTTCTGATCTCGTGTCCTGCAACTAAGCACTTTGTCAAAGGACTCATTAAGTAAAAACATCCTCCTTACATTGCATAACCTAGATGCTTACCTCGGGATGTTTAATCGTGAAGCATCTACAATCACATGGTAAAAGATTTAGCTCATTGAACTCAAGATCTAGCGTTGTACTAGACGTTGAGTTGAGATTCCTTTACTTGCAATTCATAAAACCGGCTCAAGTCCCATCCCTTGCGACATTTTATGTACCACATCCCTTGGCAAGCTTTTTGTGAAAGCATCCGCCAAATTTTGTTTGATCCGCACAAAATCCACCATTATGGCCTCGTCTTTAATCAGACCATTCACATAGCTATGTCTTAAACCGATGTGTCTAGACTTTCCGTTATAAACATGGCTATATGCCTTAGCCAATGTCGCAGCACTATCACAATGTATTGCAATAGGCGATACCGGTTTAGACCATAACGGTATTTCGAATACCAAATTCCTTAGCCATTCTGCTTCTTTCCCAGCAGCCGCTAAGGCAATAAATTCCGACGCCATGGTCGAATCCGAAATGCAAGTTTGTTTCTTGGAAGCCCAAGAAATCGCCGCTCCACCTAAAAGGTAAAGTCATCCACTCACCGAGGCATAATCCTCTTCAATAGAGTTCCAACTCGCATCGGTATATCCTTCTAACACCGAAGGTTGATCCATGTAGCATAGACCATAATTAATTGACTTTTTCAAGTACCGAAGTACTCTCCGTACAGCATTCCAATGATGTACGCTTGGGTTACTCGTGTATCTACTCAACTTCCCTATCGCGTATGCTATGTCGGGTCGAGTACTAGTCATAGCATACATCAAACAACCAATGACACTAGCGTACTCAATTTGAGCTACCGGTTCCCCACTATTAGGTGCAAACTTAGCGCTACAATCCATCGGAGTAGAAGCCGAAGGGCTTTCAAACATATCAAATCGTTTTAACACTTTCTCTGCGTAATGTGATTGAGATAGTGTTATTGAACCTTGATCCCGTTTTATCCTAATGCCTAGGATAACGTCAGCCTCACCTAAGTCTTTCATCGAAAACTTCGATGACAAGAAGTTTTTGGTCTTCTTGACTTGCTCTAATTCTGTATCGAATATGAGCATGTCATCCACGTATAAGCAAATGATAACTCCATAACCGTTATCATCAAACCTGCTATACACACACTTGTCTGATTGATTCAGATGAAATCCGTTAGCCAAAACGACCTCATCAAACTTTTGATGCCATTGTTTGGGTGTTTGTTTCAACCCATACAATGATCTGACTAACTTGCACACCTTGTGTGCTTGTCTCGATAGGATAAAACCTTCTGGTTGCTTCATATACCCTCCTCTTCTTAGATCACCATTCATTCAAGAATGCCGTTTTGACATCCATTTGGTGGATCACAAGATTGTTTATCGCTGCAAGCGCGATCAACAATCTTATCGTAGCTATTCTAGCTACCGGTGCATATGTATCAAAGAAATCAATACCTTCTTTTTGTCTGAAGCCTTAAGCTACTAGACGAGCCTTGAACTTATCGATAGTTCCATCGACTCTCATCTTCTTTTTGAAGATCCACTTGCAACCAATCTGTTTACAACCTGGAGGAGGATCTACTAAGATCCAAGTGTTGTTGCTCATAATGGAATCCATCTCATCATTTATCGCTTTTTTCCAGAATGCGATATCCTGTGATCTCATCGCTTCATCAAAAGTCTTAGGGTCACCCTCGATATTGTAAACATAAGCGAGTTGAGTTACGATCGACTCATTAGTACCTTCTACTAGGTACATATCAAAGTCCGGACCAAAGATTTTTTCTTTCCTTATACGCTTACCTCTACGAGGTTCACGTTGTCCGTCATCGTGATCAACTAACTACTCGATCACTTGATCTCGGTATAGCTCGAGGTTGTCTTTCAACCGAAGAAAAACGACTCTCATCGAATAATGCATCTTTCGACTCTATAACCGTATGAACGGTTATATAGTCGTTCTGTTCTATAACATAGAACCTATAAGCCTTGCTATGAGAAGCATAACCTATAAAGATGCACTCGATTCCTCGTTCACCCAAAGTTTTTCGTTTGGGTTCCGGCACTTTAACTATTGCCCGACAACCCCAAATCCGAAAATAATTCAGATTTGGTTTTCGCTTATACCATAGCTCATATGGGGTTATTTTATTCTTTTTCGAGGGAACTCGATTAAGAATGTAGCAAGTCGTTAACATGGCTTCTCCCCAAAAACCCACGTTTAATCCCAAGAAAGAAAGCATGGAATTTACCATTTCTTTCAACACCCTATTCTTTCTTTCCGCTACACCGTTTTGTTGTGGTGTATATGGAGCGGTCGTCTCATGAATCACGCCTACGGACTCAAAGTATGTAAGATCATAATACTCCCCTCCACTATCAGTTCTAAGCTTCTTGAGCTTAACCCCGAGTTGTGTTTTAACCTCGGTTTTGTATACCCTAAAGATATCCAAAGCTTCGTCTTTGGAATGCAACAAGTAAACGTAGCATAACCTAGTCGAATCCTCAATAAATGTAACTACGTATTTTTTTATTTCCTAGAGA